AAAATAGAAATGTGGAAGAACTGACAATATGGAAATATATACACTGCTCAAAAAAATAATGGGAACACAAAAATAAGACATCCTAGATCTGAATGAATGAAATGTTCTTATTAAATACTTTGTTCATTACATAGTTGAATGCACTGACAACAAAATCACACAAAAATTATCAATGGAAATCAAATTTAGCAATCCATGGAGGTCTGGATTTAGAGTCACACTCAAAATTAAAGTGGAAAAAAACACTACAGGCTGATCCAACTTTGATATAATGTCCTTAAAACAAGTCAAAATGAGGCTCAGTGGTGTGTGTGGCCTCCATGTGCCTGTATGACCTCCCTACAATGCCTGGGCATGCACCTGATGAGGTGGCGGATGGTCTCCTGAGGGATCTCCTCCCAGACTGGACTAAAAGCACCTCTCAACTCCTGGACAGTCTGTGGTGCAACATGGCGTTGATGGATGGAGCGAGACATGATGTCGCAGATGTGTTCAATTGGATTCAGGTCTGGGGAACGGGCTGGCCAGTCCACAGCATCAATGCCTTCATCTTGCAGGAACTGCTGATACACTCCAGCCACATGAAGTCTAGCATTGTCGTGCATTAGGATGAACCCAGGGCCAACCACACCAGCATATGGTCTCACAAGGGGTCTGAGGATCTCATCTCGGTACCTAATGGCAGTCAGGCTACCTCTGGCGAGCACAAGGAGGGCTGTGCGGCCCCCTAAAGAAATGCCACCCCACACTATTACTGACCCACTGCCAAACCGGTCATGTGGGAGGATGTTGCAGGCAGCAGAACGTTCTTCATGGCATCTCCAGACCCTGTCATATCTGTCACATGTGCTCAGTGTGAACCTGCTTTTATCTGTGAAGAGCACAGGGCGCCAGTGGTGAATTTGCCAATCTTGGTGTTCTCTGGCAAATGCCAAACGTCCTGCACGGTGTTGGGCTGTAAGTGCAACCCCCACCTGTGGACGTCGGGCCCTCATACCACCCTCATGGAGTCTGTTTCTGACCGTTTGAGCAGCCACATGCACATTTATGGCCCGCTGGAGGTCATTTTGCAGGGCTCTGGCAGTGCTCCTCCTGTCCCTCCTTGCACAAAGGCGGAGGTAGCGGTCCTGATGCTGGGTTGTTGCCCTCCTACAGCCTCCTCCACGTCTCCTGATGTACTGGCCTGTCTCCTGGTAGCACCTCCATGCTCTGGACACTACTCTGACAGACACAGCAAACCTTCTTGCCACAGCTCACATTGATGTGCCATTCTGGATGAGCTGCACTACCTGAGCCACTTGTGTGGGTTGTAGACTCCGTCTCATGTTACCATTAGAGTCCAGCACTGCCAGAATTCAAAAGTGACCAAACCATCAGCCAGAAAGCATAGGAACTGAGAAGTGGTCTGTGGTCACCACCTGCAGATCCACTTCTTTATTGGGGATGTCTTGCTAACTGCCTCTGCTTTCCACCTGTTGTCTATTCCATTTGCACAACAGCATGTGAAATTGATTGTCAATCAATGTTGCTACCTAAGTGGACAGTTTGATTTCACAGAAGTGTGATTGACTTGGAGTTACATTGTGTTGTTTAAGTGTTGCCTTTATTTTTTTGAGCAGTGTATATGTGTGTGTGTGTATGTGTTATGTGTTTTCTTAAGTTTTCACGGGTATTTATATGTATGGTATTCAGCTTTGTTCAGGTATTTTCCCACATTATTATAGTTGTGCTTTTAAAGTTGTAGCGACGTTTTGTTAGAATTTCAAACGGCTGTGAAAGCCTAACACACAGATGAACCCAACACACAAGCCTGATGATGGCAGATGAGATTCTGCCCAAACATCACTACAACAAATGTGTGTGTGTGTGTGTTTGTGTGCAGGCTCTTTTTTAATCAGAATTGTTGAATTCAAATAGAAGAATGTAATTCCGTTCAACTGTAATTGTCATCTTCATAGTTAAGTTAAGAGTCCATAAATATAAGTTGTAAAATTTTAAATAATTTCTGAAGTACACAGTGGCTAGCTCTAGTGCTTGATCTTGATGACATAGATAATAATAGATTATATTTGTCAAATGGAATAAAGAAAAATAGTGGGTTTATGCTTAAAACCTTCATTTGTTTTCTATTTAGGTGTCACATTTTTCTTCAGATTGTCTTTCCTTTAAATCTCCTTTCTGATGGAAACATTCTAAGCAAGTTGTTTCCAGAAAGAGGAAAAAATAAAGCCTATGTTCAAATATATAATACAAAATCTCAGCTTAATAAAGAAATGTCTCCAACCTAATTCATTTGAATAATTCTCTTCCAGAAAATTGGGGCGGGGGGAAGTCTTGTACTATTGATCAAAACAGACAATGAGTATTCAGGAGCTGGCAAAAAATAAATAAAACTAAGTAATGGTCTTGACTTACAACTAGATACTTACTCATCTGAGTCAAAGATAAACAAGTTAGATAAGTTGAATAACCTTGTAGGCAAAGATTAACAATTGTTACTCTTACAATCATATACCTGTCAGGCTACAGAACTTTTCCCATTCACTCAACTAGAATGAACTTCTGAAAACGTATCAAAATGTATCAAAAAGGAATCCTTTATTGAGATGAGACAATTCATGTAGTAGTTCAAAGCAGCATCTGAGGTCTCTCAGGCATACAGGAATACATAAGAGAGTTTAGCACCCTTCCCTTATCTCGATGTGTATTTAGTGAAACAAAAGCCAGTATGTTAATTCTTCCTCACCCCTTTTGTAAGGAACAATCTTTTTCACAATTTCCCAGGGCATACCTAATTTCCCCCCCACCCCCTTTTTAGAACAAACTTTTCCAGAGATTCCCAGGACACATCTCACTGTGGAATTTTTATGATCTTCTCATCTCCTGGTTGTGCCTCTCAGAGGTGATAGGTTCTGGCCATCTGGCTTTTCTCCCTCCATTGTATCGTGTGGGTTATACAAATTCGATATACTGTAAGATTAAATATATTGAGGTTACATCAAGAAAGGATTTCTTTATCAGCCTCCCCCCCCTTTTCTTCTTCCACTGAAGAAATGACAGATACACGGATCTGACATCACCTTTCATCCATATGATTTTGTTGTATCCATTATATTTGAACTTCGGAATTAAATTTAAGACATGTTAACTGAAAAACAGTAAATATAATTTAGAAATAAAAAAGCAATCTGCTTGATGCAGGCACATAAAACACAGGAAATGTTTCCCAAATATTTCATATGACATAATGATGTTTTAGAGTGGTGTAGATTCAAACAAATACACTGAATATATCTTAAATAACATATCTTGCCCAATTATTTTACAAAATTAATTCTCTCTTAGATTTATATGAGAATTGCTTGGTTGTTCTATTAGTTCTATTAACGGTACATTTTTACTTTCATAAGGTTTTACTTATTTATTTGTATCCTGCCTTTATTATTTTTACAAGTAACTCAAGGTAGTGAGCTTACCCAGCGCACCTTCTTCCTCCCATTTTCCCCATAACGCTAACTCTTTGAAGTAAGTTGGGTTGAGAGAGAGTGATTGGTCCAAGGTCACCCAGCCGGCTTTCCTGGCTAGGGTGACACTAGAACTCAGGATCTTCTACTTTCTAGCCTTTTACTTAGACCAAACCGGCTATTTTAATTTATATGGATTATATGTTCTGATCATATTCTAAAACTATTTTTCCCAATAAAATAAATACATTACATAGATAAAAGCATCACTGTAAACAGTTGTTACTTTTTAAAAGGACAAGAATATATTCTCATTTCTTGTTACTGTTCATCACTAGTAAACAGGTGTTCAGTCGGGAGTTCCCATTTTTGCATTATTATTCTTTAGAACTAACCATTGCTAAAGCTAACAGGAGTTGCTTCACAATATCTGAAGGGCACCATGTCCCTGTTCTACTTAATTGTCATGTTCCTAATATGCAACACAATAAAAGTGTGTATGTGCATTATATAAATTAGTCAAGACAATTGAAATATTGAAATCTGGATGTACTCACTACTAGTCAGAAGGATACTATAATGAGCAAGGTTATTTTTGTAAAATGTTACTTTTATATGTCAATTTGATATAATGATTATGAGTACTAACTTCTAGAAAAAGGTAGATATAACCTAGGTTTATGTATTTCTGATAAACAAGGAAACTCATTTTTATAGACCAGTCAAGATAATTTCATAGTTGCTATTATCTATTCAAAGTTCATATGTTCAGATTTTAGAACTCTAATGATATTTCTATGAATATTAGAATATTTCTTTTCATTTATAAAATTTATTTAGGAACATTAAGTGTAATGGCAGTGTCAACCCTTGAGCCTCCAGCGGATCGTTTTGGGGTTGCCATTCGGTGGGGAAGACTTACAAGGATAATGAAAAACAGTAGACTCACAGCATGGGAGGTGGACAATGAGGAAGCAGCCCGCCGACAATCAGCTGGAGAGCAGACCAGCAGCAAAAGAAAGAACTAGGCCCAACAGAAAGATTCCAGGCCTTTCAGGCCTCTCTAGAAGTACAACAGCCATGAGGGTGGGTCAGGCGCACGTAAGGGGCGGAGTTAAATAGGCGGGAAAGCCACAACAGTTATTGCTGCCCTTGTTTTGATTGCTATGTGCCGATGTTTCCAGGCTATCCAGAATTAAAAGCAATTAATCAAACCTTTTATTTCTATTTCTTGGTTTTAGAGAATTGGAATAGTGACAGGCAGTCTTAGTAAAATTATTGTAAAAGGGGATTAAGAGATAAGACTTGATTTATTTAGTCATGAAGTTTGGAAATAATTTATTTTGCATAATGACCTTTGGATGTAAAACTATAGTTGTTTTTTATTTCAAAGGTCCATTTGTTCTCTATTTTCCCTTTTGGTAGTGGCCCATATTGTGTAGCAAATATTCTTTGCCTTTATTTTTCTATATAAACTCCTAAACCTAAGTTTTCCAATTAACATATTCTTCATATATCATCTAATTTCATATATTGAATTTTCATATCATTGCACAATTATGGTTGAAAAGCTGTAACTTGGGACTCAGAAGGGCTTGTACCTTCTTTTAAATAAATTATTTTAAAATAGCTTGTAATTTGCTATTTGTTTCTAGGGTTAAACAAGCATTATGCTACAATTCTGAATATATGAAGAAATCAGTATACTGTTTCCTGACAAAATGTTGGTGATGAGATTCCTTGTGTACCCTTTTGACTATGGGTGTACAAACTGGTTTGGTAACTATATATTTACTGCTTACAGGTTTTCAATGCAAACACAGCTGAATTACTGAGTCATCATCAAGTGGAAATCCAGCAGAAATTCCCCAAAGAAGGGTATTGCTTCTCTTTTATGTTTGAATATTTGATGTTTTATATTATACTGTTAAATTCTATGGAGAAAAGCTAAGTTTTTTTAACTGATGGAATTGTTTCCATCTATATGACAAATGGTATGGCTTTCTTATTTCCCCCCTTTATTATGTTATTGAAATCTATCTGTTAGCAAACACCCAAATTCATTTATAGAGTGTTGTAGAACTTGCATTGTGAACAATAGAAAATTCAACAAAGAGAATTGCTTTTCTCTGATCTTAGAATTTAAATATGTCCAACATGAATAGAAAGGCAGTTCATGTGTTCAAATTTGCCTCTTCTTTAGCTGCATTAATACATGTTCTTACTGAAGGCTCTGTGTTATAGCCAGTGGTGGGCTGCAAATTTTTTAACAACTGGTTCTCTTCCCTAATGACTGGCTGGCTGGGGGAGAGGGGGGGTGTCATGTGACTTAGTGGGCGTGGCCAACTCTGTCACTTGTGTGGGTGGTACCTGTATGGGAAAGGCAAGCATAATAAGTAAACAATATGTTTATTGTTGATCTATTGCTATTTCATATTGTGTTATTTGTTTCTCAAATCACAACTCTTTGCCAATGATACAATTCCTGGAAAATCTTTATTTAGATTTTCCCCACAGCAAGTCACAATTTGGAATATACTGTACATACATACATACATATATACATACATACATACAATCGCTACATGATAAGAAGTTATAACATGTCAATAGCATAATATGTGCAATTATGCCATAAATTTCTGTTATGAAATTTATGGCATAATTGAACATTTTGCATTGAAAGCGGAATGAGCCAAACAGAAAAAATGTCCCGTCCCCCCCCCCCAAACGTGGATAGTGACCGTATTATGATATCATAAGGACAAGAAGACGGAACTATGACTCCCTTCTTCAAAACTTTTGGGTCATTCCATGTCAATTGGTCTATGTTAAGGTATTAAGATTTAGAAACTGACCAGCAGTGAGTAGCTGCATGATGCTGTGAAGCGGATGTGAGTCGTAACAAGAGTGATTGAGCAGAGTATGGGCATTTTCTTTTAAGGCTGGAGAGAAAAGTTCTCCTTAAGAGGTGTGTACCGTATTTGCCGGCGTATAAGATGACTTTTTTGCCCTGAAAAACATGCCTCCAAGTGGGGAGGTCGTCTTATACGCCAGCAAATACGTTGTTGTCACTCGGTGCAAGAGCGATGGGGGCGGAGCTCCGCAACTTGTGAAGCCCCTTCAAGCCCAGCCGGAGTCTCTCTTCCTCCCCCCCCCTCCGCCCGGCTTGGGGCGCTTGCGGAGGCCAATCTGGAGGTGGGGTGGGGGTGGAGCGGGAGGGTCTCTGGGGGGGCCGCTTCGCCCAGCCAGCCCCAAGCCGCGTAATGGCCTGGGAAGTGGGGGGGAGAAGGTGGTGGGAGGGGACTGTGGCGCCCCTCTTTCTGGGCAGCGGGGCAGGGCCGGCAATTTGCTCCTCCCGCTTCTCCCTCCCTCTTTGAAAGACCGGGAGGGCTGTGCTTCGGGCGGGGGGTTGTCCTTGGGAAGTTCCTGATGGGACCCCGCTGGGCAGGGCCACCCAGCTCCCGAGCTGCTTTCCAGGGTCCCCTTGGGAAGAAAAGGGTCCGGTGGGCGGTGGAAGAAGGCGAGGGACCTCCTCCCACCCCCTGTCCCATCCCGTCCCTTCCTCCCCTCCCCGCTTAAGAGAGAAAGATCTGCCTCCCCGGCACCGAGCTGCCACCCAGCGCCGCGTCTCCCGGCCAGCACGCGCTTGCGACTTGGGAACTGGCCAAGCGAATTTAAAACCGAGTGGAGGCCAGAGGTAGCCGGAATTACCCTCCACACCACACACACACACACACACACACACACACACACACACACACACACACACAGAGAGAGAGAGAGAGAGAGAGAGAGAGAGTTGGCAGCTGTCCATCCCCCACCCTTGGGGGGGTCGTCTTATACGGCGAGTATATAACAAACTCTATATTTTGAGTGGAAATGTTGTGGGCTCGTCTTATACGCCCAGTCATCTTATACGCTGGCAAATACGGTATATAAATGGCAACCATTAGAGGGCGTGGTTCTCTTTTCTTGTGGCCAGTGTTCAGTGCAGAAGTTCTGCATGTGTTAAGAAGAAAAAAAGCTTGCTTATAAAGGTATTTTGCTACCACATCCATGTTGTCTGTATATACCTATTGTATATTAAACCACTGTTACTGTCTTAAGTCTCTGTGTGCTGTGTATTGCTGGGTTGTCTCATAAAGGTAGTCATGCTGCCAAAACGCTCTGACAGTCTGGGGGTCCCTGCTCGACCATCATGGGTTTCAAAGAAATTTTGTATGAACATGCATACATGTCCCCAATGAACATTGGTAAAGTGTTACGTTTGCCAATGCAATACTTGTAGAGATATAGTCATTTGTTTGATCCTATACTGCAGCCTTCTACAGTATTACTTTGAAGTTTCAGCAACTGAGACATAATAGCTCCGGCAATATTTTGTTGAGAGAAACAAAACTTCGCCATCTTGTACAACTTGTTAAAGTTTGACTTTTTATATCTCTGGAAGGAAAGGTATGATAAACATGAAACTTTGTGCATAATAACTTAGCAACACAAGCAGTGGTGGGATTCAGCCGATTTGGGCCAGTTCATGCACACCAGCAGTAAAAATTCTGGCTGGCCCTGTCCCTCCCCGCCTGCTCGCCCCTCCCTGTTCCGCCCAGTCACTCCTCATCTCACCCACCATTGCTAACCTGCCTTCGCCTGCCTTTGCTGCCTGCCTTCCACTGCGGCCCTGATCTCCCTGGCTGAGTGAGCCTGCAAGCAAGCCCCGGTCGAGTCGACTCCCGGGCCAGCCTAGGCTGCTGCACTGCCCCTCCTCCCCCGTTCCCAGGCTTGCCTGGATTGCTTCGCCACCAGTGCTGCAGCTCCATCACATGCACATTCACAGCCTAGCTAGCTAGATGCCCCCCCACTGTGCCCAGCCTCCAGCGCCACTTCCCATGCTTCTCAGGACTTCCCACTGCTTCCCGCCCCTTCCTGGAGCTTCCCACTGTTCCCAGCACTTCCCACACTTACCAGAGTTTCTCACATTTCCCAAAGCTTCCTGCTTGCCTCTGAATGCCGGCTAAGAAGCCAGATGGCCACACTGGCTGGGAGAGCATTCTCCCCCTGGCCAGGAAGGTACATGGCTGTGCAGGCCGGGAAAGCATCCTCTCCCTGGCCAGGAAGCTGCATGGCCATGCTGGCTGAGAGAACAGATTCCCCAAGGATTTCTTTGCCTACCTGATTTCCAACTCCTTTGCATTTCTAGCCATCATGTGCAGGAAAATGAAAGTTTGTGTGGGGTAAAAAAAAACTTCAATTCATAACTTCTCATGAAAGAAAAAGATTGTGCAAGGTTGGAATTGATTGAGATTTTTTTTTTAGCCCCACACAAACTTTTCTTTCCCTGCACATGATGGCGAGAAACACAACGGATCTGTAAATCAGGTAGGCAAAGAAATGCTTGGGGAAATCTGGGTGGTGGTGGGTGGGGAAAGCTCCATGGTGTGGCACAGCAACGGCGAAACAGGCAATGGAGCAGCCTGCATGAGGTAAGGAGAAGGCCACTTTCCTTCTCTTCTCCCTGCTCCTCCTCCTCCCCTCGTGCTGGCTGCTCCATTTCCCATTTCTACATCAGCAACCAATTTGCCTGGCCAAACTAACCCCGGAGTCTCCCCTACATACACTGGACTCAACAGCAGCTTTGGTTGGGTTGCTCAGTCGGCGAACAAAACATCCTATCACGATTTGAAACAAGCCCGAGAGTGGGATTCAGGGGTGGGCTTCAAAAATTTTAGCAAAGGGTTTTCTGCTCAGTTGCTGGGTGGGTGAGGCCATGGTGGGCATGGCCTAGTCAGCTTCCTGCACCATGGCATGGTGGGTTTGCCCCCCCTTCACAGCGGAGGCTCTCTGGAAACCAGAAATGGGCTCATTTCCAGCCTTCCCAGACTTCTGAGAGGTCTGTTTTTCGCCCTCCCCAAGCCTCCATGCATGCCCTGCACTTACCTACATCCAAAACTGGCCACGTGGGAACTCCTAGGAGGGGTGGGTCGGATGGGGCCAGCCAGGAGTGGGATTTGGGGGTTCTCCAAACTGTGCAGAATCTTAGCTAGGGGTTCTCCCGAACTCCCACAAACCCCAAGCAGGCCATCCCTGGTGGGATGGGATTTCTAAAGTGTGCATGCCCACAAACCGCATTCCCCAGCTTCTCAGCAGGACCTCTCTGGGCTCAGCAAAACCAATTTGGCTTGTCTGTACAAGCTCACATCATTCTCCCTGGTGCTGCTTGGCAGGTCATGCTCCACTGTGTCTTTTTAAGCTATGCTGGTGTGAAAGGGTTGATGTCTTAGGATCAGGGAGATTGGTTAGCAGCTAGCAAATATTCTAGCTTTTCTTAAATAAAATCTGCCCATATCTGTCAGCTGGTGCTCCATTGAAAATCCAAGAAAGAAATACTTAGACTCCATTAATTAGAGAAAAGATATCTTTTACTGGAAATCAAGTGGTAGCAACAAAAGAATTCTGAATCTGAGAAAATGGGTGCGTAAATCACATATACAAAGTGATGGCAATGTTCCCACTCCCAATAGTTCAATTGGCTCATCCAATTAAAAGTTGTGTATATCATCATGTGGGCATCTCCAGGTGATGATGAGGCCTCTGTCCGTTGACCTTGACATATTTTGATAAAGAGATGCAGCTGCGCATAGCATAGGATAGAAGCCTAAGCAAGAATCTACGCCCCCCCCCAACTTACACAGTTCTGTTTTGTAACACCTCCCGCTCACTTCCCATAACCATATTCCCCCTGTTACTTATGACAGCCGAAAGATGCAAAGCAAAGGGAAAAAGAAGAAAATCTTGAAGGCTGACATTCGGCCCTCCTGCAAAAGAGGCGTTAGTCCTATAAAAGACAAAAATAGAATGGAACAGAAAATATACATCTAACACCTCAATACTAATTTTTAGGGTTTATCAGGATATTTAGTACGAAATGCATTGATAAGCTTAGGAGCTCTAACATCCTTCTCATTCACCTATTCAGACTGGGAAGGAGGAAAATGTTTCCAAACAATCAAATATTGGAGTTGACCCCTTTGTTTTCGAGAATCCAAAGTTTCTTTAACTTCAAAATGTTGTTCACCTTCAATTAGCAATGGCAACCTGAGTTGGTCTCAAGTCGGAGGTATGTTCAGGTTTTGATAAACTAACATGGAAAATAGGGTGGATCCATCAGAAGGTTTTAGGTAATTTCAGTTGGACTGCCACAGGGTTCACAATTCGTTCAATTGAGAAAGATCCAACATACTTAGGTCCAAGCTTTTTTGACTTTTGTGTGGTCTGCAAATATCTGGTGGACAAAAAGGCCTTGTCACCAACTTGATATGGTTTTTGTGGAGTTCTCTTTTTATCTGCAAATTTTTTATGGGCTTGATGAGCATCATCTAATGCTTTACGGGTAACCAGCCAGGTAAGCTGGAGCTGTGTTATCAATTCATCTAATGACTGAATGTTGTTTCTCCTGTGGAAGTTCGGGTATGGGTACAAGGTCTTGTCCCGAAGACACTTTAAATGGAGTAAACCAGTACTACTATGTACCGAATTGTTATATGCCACCTCAGCAAATGGCAATAGATCAGCCCAATCATCTTGCTGATAATTTATATAACATCTAAGATACTGTTCCAATACCGAGTTAGTTCTCTCACAAGCCCCATTGGTTTGTGGGTGGTGGGTAGAGCTTAAGCCCTGGGTGGAGCCCATTAACTTCAGGAACTCCTTCCAAAAGTTTGAGGTAAACTGGACACCCCTGTCTGAGATTATACATTCAGGAACCCCATGTAACCTGTAGATATGTAAAATAAACAGTTTAGCCAATGTTTTCACAGATGGGATTTTCGGACAAGGTATGAAATGTACCTGTTTGGAAAACAAATCCGTTACCACCCAAATAACTGTATTTCCCCCACTTTCAGGTAATTCCACTATAAAATCCATTGACATTTCCTTCCATGGAGCAGTTGGTCTAGCCACATTTTGTAGTAAGCCTGTTTGGTTTACCAGGAGGCCGTTTGGCTGAGGCACAGATAGGACAGCTAGCCACATAAGTCTCAACATCCTTTTTCAAGGTAGGCCACCAAAATTGCCTTTTAACCAAGTGTAAGGTCTTCACGAACCCAAAATGACCAGCAGCTTTAGAGTCATGAGCTTGTTGTAATATTTAGTTTCTCAGCTTTGCTGGACATATAATTTGGCCCCCACCCATGCCAATGCATCTCTAACCGTATAGTTATTTGAGTGAGCAAGGAACCAATCATCAAGTTTTAGAGCTTCTTTTAATTGTGCAGTTAAATCATTTGATAAATCAACTTCCTTCTTTTTCTGAGCTCTGGTAACCACTGCAGCTGCCAACTGTTTGGTTGGAACAATAGGCCGTACCACTTCTTGGTGTGCAGTATTATATTGAGGTAATCTAGATAAAGCATCCACCATGAAGTTCTTCCCCCCGGAATATACTTCAATGAAAAATTAAGGCGCTTAAAGTACTGTGCCCAACGAACTTGCTTGGGAGACAGCTTCCGAGGCGTTTTCAAAGCCTCCAAATTTTTATGATCCGTCCACACCTCAAATGGGTGTTTTGCCCCTTCTAAGAAATACCTCCAGGTTAACAGAGCCCAGCGAACTGCAAAAGCTTCTTTTTCCCAGATGGCCCTTCTTCTTTCGGTTTCAGTTAATTTACGGAAAGTATATGCACACGGTTGCAGAGTCCCCATCTCGTTTGCTTGTAGTAACACTGCCCCGACTGCTACGTCACTTGCATCGGCTTGGATTACAAAAGGAGCGTCCATGTGCGGGTGCTTCAGTATTGGTTCAGCAGCAAACAGTCGTTTCAGCTTCTCAAAAATGGCTTGACACTCCATGGACCACTCCAGTGGTTTACTAGGCTTCGGTTTCACCCCCCCCCCCTTTGGTTTTTAGGACATTTGTGATAGGTATTGCAATCTTCGCAAAAGCAGGCATAAATTGATGGTAAAAATTAGCAAATCCCAAGAAACTTTGAAGTTGTTTCCTGGTGCAGGGAGGGGCCATTCCAAAATAGCACAAACTTTCCCTGGATCCATTTCTATGCCATCATGTGATATGCGATAGCCTAAATAGTCAATTTTTTCCTGGTGGAATTCACACTTGGACAACTTTGAAGTTTTTCCAGAACTGACCGCACTAGTTTCACATATTCATCATGAGTCTCTGTGTAGATAAAAATATCACAAGATAAACCAACACCCCTTTGTATAACTGTTCATGCAACACCTGATTGATCATTTGCATGAATACTACAGGGGCCCCCTGTAGGCCAAATGGAAGAACGTTGAATTGGAAACAGCCCATCAGGCAGTTAAAAGCAGTTTTCCATTCATCCCCTTCCTTAATTCGAACTCGGTAGTATGCTTCTCTCAGATTGAGTTTCGTAAAAAATTTCCCTTTTTCCAAGTGGGCCAACATATCCATCAAGGGGAGGGGGTACATGTTCTCCACCGAAATAGCGTTGAGATTTCCATGCATAAAGGCAGAGAGCCATCTTTCTTCTCACAGAACAATACTGGGGCTGCTACTCGGGGTATAGCAGGTTGGATGAAACCACATTCCAAATTTTTATTGATAAATGACTACAGCTCTTCTAGCTCCTGCGGTGTCATCGAGTACAGTTTTGGTTTTGGGAGTTTCACTCCTGGCAAAAGTGCAATGCTGCAATCTGTTGAGTGATGTGGGGGGAGCTCATCCGAGGCCTTTTCACTGAATACCTCCTTTAAGTTCCAATATTCCTCTGGAATTTTCTCCTCCCCCCTCAGATTCTCAGTGCCAGTGGAGGCCAGTTCAGTGGGATTCTTGGGGTTCGGTTGAGATTGCCCCTCCTCTTCTGGGGGTTGGTCAGTATGTATGCGCAATGATCCCCTCCTCCAGGAAACGTGATGGTTCCATTTCCAGAGCCAGGGTAAACCCAGTATTAGGGGGCGCTACATCCCAGGAGCCACAATAAAACACAAAGTCTCTCTATGCTTCCCCATCATCATTTCTACTGGTTCCGTAATGAAACGTGCAGGGCCACCCCAGCTACCGATCCATCCAGTTAGTAAAAGGCTATGGGCGTTTTTAAAGTCTTTAGCCTTAAGCCCATTTTCTCTACTACCTCCAAGCTGATTACGCACCTTGTGCACCCAGAGTCTGACAAGGCCAACATTTCCCTTTTGGCTCCCAACGTGGGTACCCTTAATCTCACTGGAATGGTCATAGGGCCCTTGTTTGGACTTACCAGTGAGTCGTCTTCCGATTCGGATTCACTCTCTTCAGAAGAGGTTGGAATTCCCAGCTCCTCTTCTTTCGGAGGGGTGATCTCTACAACCTCCTCTGCTTTAAGCGCCGTTTTGCGAGGCTTTGCTGGAGGTTTTTCAGGTTTTTTTTCCTCCTCC